CCGGTTCTGATCCCTGATCCCTGTTTTTGTGTCCCTTTGTCCCCATCCAGTGTCACCGCGGGGCTGCCCCTGAGCCCGGCCGCCGACTCTGCGCGCTCCGCTCGCCACGCGCTGGCGCTCATCGCCACCGCCCGCCCGCCCGCCTTCATCACCACCATCGCCAAGGAGGTGACACTGGGGGCACACCTGGGGGCTCTGGGGACACCTGGGGGGTCTGGGGACACTGTGGGGACACCTGGATCCCATGGACTGAGATCCTGAGGCTCAGGATCTCCTAGATCACGATCCCAAGGCTCAGGATCCCCTGGCTCAGGATCCCCTGGACTGAGCTCCAGTGGCTCAGGATCCCCTAGATCAGATCCCGAGGCTCAGGATCCCCTAGATCAGGATCCCATAGATCAGATCCCGAGGCTCAGGATCCCCTAGATCAGATACTGAGGCTCAGGATCCCATAGATCAGGATCCCCCAGCTCAGGATCCCATAGATCAGGATCCCCCAGCTCAGGATCCCCTAGATCAGATCCCCCAGCTCAGGATGCCCTAGCTCAGATCCCGAGGCTCAGCATCCCCGCGGATCCCCCGCAGGTGCACAGGCACACGGCGCTGGCGGCCAACACGCAGTCGCAGCAGAACGTGCACACCAGCACGCTGGCGCGCGCCAAGGGCGAGATCCTGCGCGTCATCGAGATCCTCATCGACAAGATGCCCACGGACGTGGTGGATCTGCTGGTGGAGGTGAGGCAGGAGCACGGCCCCGCGGTCCCCAGCCCCGTCCCGCTCCCCCTGACCCTGAGCTTGTTCCCAAGGTGATGGACATCATCATGTACTGCCTGGAGGGATCCCTGGTGAAGAAAAAGGGGCTGCAGGAATGTTTCCCAGCCATCTGCAGGTGAGCTCTGCCCCTGGCAGTGCGGGCAGGGAGGGCGTCCTGCTGTACTACAGGGACAGGTTTCGTGCTGGTACTGGGGACATATTGACACAGGGACGTGTTTCATACAGGGGACATGTTTCATATTGATACATATCTCATATTGGTACTGGGGACATGTTTCATATTGGTACTGGGGACATATTGACACAGGGACGTGTTTCATATTGATACAGGGGACATGTTTCATATTGACACAGGGACATGTTTCATATTGACACAGGGACATGTTTCATATTGATACAGGGGACATGTTTCATATTGACACAGGGGACATGTTTCATATTGACACAGGGACATGTTTCATATTGACACAGGGACATGTTTCATATTGACACAGGGGACATGTTTCATATTGATACAGGGGACATGTTTCATATTGACACAGGGACATGTTTCATATTGGTACAGGGGACATGTTTCATATTGACACAGGGACATGTTTCATATTGACACAGGGGACATGTTTCATATTGACACAGGGGACATGTTTCATATTGACACAGGGGACATGTTTCATATTGACACAGGGACATGTTTCATATTGACACAGGGACATGTTTCATATTGACACAGGGACATGTTTCATATTGACACAGGGGACATGTTTCATATTGATACAGGGGACATGTTTCATATTGACACAGGGGACATGTTTCATATTGGTACAGGGACATGTTTCATATTGATACAGGGACATGTTTCATATTGACACAGGGACATGTTTCATATTGACACAGGGGACATGTTTCATATTGATACAGGGGACATGTTTCATATTGATACAGGGACATGTTTCATATTGACACAGGGACATGTTTCATATTGACACAGGGACATGTTTCATATTGACACAGGGACATGTTTCATATTGACACAGGGACATGTTTCATATTGACACAGGGGACATGTTTCATATTGATACAGGGGACATGTTTCATATTGACACAGGGACATGTTTCATATTGATACAGGGACATGTTTCATATTGATACTGGGACATGTTTCATATTGACACAGGGGACATGTTTCATATTGGTACAGGGGACATGTTTCATATTGACACAGGGACATGTTTCATATTGACACAGGGACATGTTTCATATTGGTACTGGGGACATGTTTCATATTGACACAGGGACATGTTTCATATTGACACAGGGGACATATTGATACATATTCCATATTGGTACATGGGACATATTGATACATATCTCATATTGATACATGGGACATACTGATACATATTTCATATTAATACATGGGACATATTGATACATATTTCATATTGGTACATGGGACATATTGATGCATGGGACATATTGATACAGGGGACATATTGATACAGGGGACATATTGATACATATCTCATATTGATACAGGGGACATATTGATACATATCTCATATTGATACAGGGGACATATTGATACATATTTCATATTGATACATAATTCATATTGATACATGATACATATTTCATATTAATACATTGTAACTATTTAATATTAATACATAATGTATATGATACATATTTCATGTTAATACATATTTCATATTGATACATGATACATATTTCACATCAATACATATTTCATATTAATACATATTTCGTGTTAATACATGATACATATTTCGTATCAATACATAATACATGTTTCATATTAATACATTATACATATTTCATATTGATACATGATACATATTTCATATTAATACACAATACGTAGTTCATATTAATACATATTTCATATTAATACATGGTACATATTTAATATTAATACATATTTCATATTGATCCGTAATACATATTAATACACGATACATGTTTCATATGAATACATATTACATATTTAATATTGATACATGGTACGTATTTCACAATAGTACATATTTCATATTGATACACGGTACATATTTCATATTAATACAGTACACATTTCATATGAATACACGATACATATTAATACACAATAGATAATTCCTAATTAGGACACTCCTTTAGTGACATGAGGAAGAGTGAAAGGTGATTTATTTATAAACTGGGAGCATTCCCAGTGTCTTGGATAAATAAATATCCCAGTCATCCTCTTAAACCTCTCCAGCCCATAAATCCCAATAATCACCCTTAATTAAATTTTAATTTAATTACCTATTAAAATATGGGATGGCTCCAAGGAAAGAGCAGTTATCCTTTGCCAGGCTGGATGTGATGGGAGCAATCCTCCTTCCTGAGCTTTTCCCTAAAACCCGAAGGCGAGGATAAATGGGAATGAGTGCCCAGTCTCCCTGTTCCTCCGGATGTATTTAGAATTCCCTGCAATCACTGGGAATGTTCCCGGTGTTTTCCCCAGCTCCATCCTGTGCAGTTGCCGTGGCGCTGGGAACGCCGAGGGGATGGGAGGGAAATCTGCAGGATTTCTCCTTCGGGTGTGCTCAGGCTCCGGGAGAGCGACCCCAGAAATTCCCGGTTTTCCCTGGGGGAGGATGGAAGGGCAGGATTCCGGCACGGGCGCGCTCTCGCTGTGATACCCCAGAACTGCAGTCCACAGTGAGGGTTCAGTGGGCTGGAATTCCATGGATCTGGCATTCCAGAGAATGTTCTGGAATGGCTGTTCAGGATCACTGTGGGGAGTGTTCGATGGGCACCTTCCCTTCTCCTTCTCCTTTGGCTTTCCCGGGAAACGCCCCGGAGTCACGGAGGGTCCTGGAAGGGCACTGAGGTGTCCCAGCACTCCCAGGGACGGGGGATTATCCCAGATAAATCAATCCCATCCTGCTCCCGTCCATCCCAATTCCGTGAATCCCCCCTTGTTTTCCCCGTTCTCCTCAGGTTCTACATGGTGAGCTACTACGAGCGCAGCCACCGCGTGGCCGTGGGCGCTCGCCACGGCTCCGTGGCGCTCTACGACATCCGCACCGGCAAGTGCCAGGTGAGCATTCCCGGGAATGCCCCGCTGGAATGTGGGGATAACTCCGGGACATCCCGCAGGATCGCAGGGGAAAAGCTCAGGAGGATTTCCTGAGGTGAAAGGTTGGGAGTTAAATCCTCCGAAATTCCCAGGTTTTATTTACACTCTGATGGGGAATATTGACAGCACTCGGTTCCTTACTTTTCTTAATGATCCTAATGATTAATCCTGGAAAACAGAGCTGGGGGTGAGCAGAGGGGCTCCAGGGACAGCTGGGTTTGGCTCCAGAACAAATCTGCACTCGGCTTCTGGGCCAGGGGAACAGCCCCAGATCCACATTCCCATCGCATTCCCATCCTTGATCCCAAACACGTTCCCACTCGTGTTCCCTTCATATTCCCATTGTATCCCCTCATATCCCTCATATCCTTCATATCCCTCATATTCCCTCACATTCCCACTCACATTCCCATCCTTGATCCCAAACACGTTCCCACTCGTGTTCCCTTCATATTCCCATTGTATCCCTCATATCCCTCATATTCCTCACATTCCCATCCTTGTCCCCAAACACATTCCCCATCATGTTCCCTTCATATTCCCATTATATTCCCTCATATTCCCTCATATTCCCATTATTTCCCCTCACATTCCCCCCAGAGATCACAGGAATTCCCTTCTGCAGCTCACAATTCCTCTCTAAAGCAGCCAAACTCTGGCAATGGCAATGGGAATGGAATGGGAATGACGATGGCAATGGCAGTGACAGTGACAATGACAATGGCAATGACAATGGCAGTGACAATGACAATGGCAGTGACAATCCAGAGGGATCTCCAGGAATTTGGGATGCTGGCACGTTCCCGGGGGATGCTGGGCCAGGGATCCCTGTGGGTTCCCAGGTGTGTGGGGTGCCCCATTCCCGGGAGCTCCCGCGGGAGGGATTCCCGGGCCGGCGTTTTCCCGGCATTTGATCCGGGATGCAGCAGGGCTGGGCTGGAACGTGATCAGATTCCCAAAATCCGTGGGGATCCGTGGGGATCGTGGATCCCGTGCTGCCCTGAGGCCCCGGGATCTGATAAAGGGAATCGATGCTCTCAGGAATCGGAATTCCGAGAGCTCCGCCTTCGTTTTCCCGGCTTTAAACCCCAGCCAGAGGCACAGAGAGCGGCTTTTATCCCAGAATAAAGAGCTGGGATTAATCCTTGCAACTGCAATTAATTTATTATTCATTGACATTCATTCATTCATTCATTTTATATTTCATTTATAACGATATCAGAAGGATCGGGCAACGGGATTGCGAGCTCTGCGTGCCCAGTTAAACACTGCAATAATATTTAATTAAAATATTCAATATTAATATTAAATATTATACATATTAATTATAGATGTATAAATAAGTATATTACTTATAATTAGTATAAATATTAATTATAAATATTAATTATAAATAGTATAAATATTAATTATAAATAGTATAAATACAAATATTATTTAATAATAATAATATGAAATGGTTCGTGTTGGGTGTGAGGTTCCTGATTATCAACACCCAAAATCCTGCACTTAAAGGTGCTGCAAGGTGGGAAATAAATCTATTTTATATCCAATTAAACAGTAAAATCAGGAGTGGGGAGGGAGAGTGCAGGGAAGGGATTTTAGGATACCTGTGGTTGATTTTGGGATGATGGGAAAGGTTTTCCCAGGTAAATCCTTGCAGAGCCTGGCCCAAAATCCCCCAATTAATTCCTCAGCAGGGGGTATTTAATTATCTCCTCTCCCCTGGGGAACACCTTTGGGTCTGTAAGGAAAGACCCTGAAATATTCCGTTTTTATTGATCCAATCTTGGCGTTCATCATAAATATTTAGAGCTGCATTTCAGAAATACGTGAAATTTCTGTGCCTAAACCCTGGAAGATTAAAGAGAAACACAAGTTATTTTGGGTTTATTTCAAAGCAAAAACTACTTTTAAAGCTGGCCTGGAATCGATAATGTTTGGTCCTGGGTCCTTCCAGAATTAAAATCCCAGGAATCCGAGCATTAATTGGACTTATGTGGGATTGAATATTCCATTTGGAATAATCGTGGTTTAATGAGTGAAAGGTGCTAAAGGTGCTGGTCTGCAACCCACAGCTGCATTCCAGGTACAAAACCCTGGAAATCACCAGAAAACACATCCCTGAATTCCTGAAAAACCCCCAGGAACAATTCCTGACTATCCCTAAACATGGCCAATAACAGGGACGGTGTTCCTGGGTTAATAAATGAATTCCCATCCATGGGGTAATAAATGAATTCCCATCCATGGGGTAATAAATTAAATTAATTTCCATCCATGGGTTAATAAACTAATTTCCATCCATGGGGTAATAAATGAATTTCCATCCATGGGTTAATAAATTAATTTCCATACGTGGATTATTAAATAAGGAAATGCAGGAATTTCCATCCATGGATTATTAAATGAATTTCCATCCATGGATTAATAAATGGAATAAGGAAATGCAGGAATTCCCATCCATGGGTTATGAAATGGAATTCCCATCCATGGATTATTTAAATGGAATGAGGAAATGCAGGAATTCCCATCCATGGATTATGAAATGAGGAACCGCAGGGATTCCCCTGCCTGCTGGGAACATCCCTGGCTGCCCTGGGGCTCTGGTGCAGGGAGGGAACGCAGGAAATCCTGCCTGGGAAGGATTAGCATCCACTGGAGCCGCGTGTCCTGGAACTCCCGCTTCCCTGGAGGAGCTGTGCTCTCCGGAGCCGAGGAGAGCAGCACCAGGAGTCACCCCGAGCGTGTTCCTGGCGCTGTTCCGTGCCGGGGGGGCCTCCAGGGAGAGGGATTTGCCCTTGGATCCCTTTCCAGGGGAATCAATGGATTTCTGGCTGGTTCCTGCCGCGGCAGCGTTTCACCCAGCGGGGATTGGGATTCCCAGGGCATTTCTGATGCTTTCTGGCTCCCCGGGAGCCGTTTCCATGGGGGGGCTCACCTGATCCAGAATGTTCCGGCTGTATCCCGTTCCCAGACTATCCATGGGGTTCCCCCTGATCCGGAACATTCCGGCTGTATCCCGTTCCCAGACTTTCCCACAGGGTTCCCCCGTTCCCTGACCCGGAACATTCCGGTTGTGTCCCGTTCCCTGACCCGGAACATTCCGGCTGTGTCCCATTCCCAGACTATCCACGGCCACAAAGGAGCCGTCACCGCCGTGGCCTTCGCCCCCGACGGCCGCTACCTCGCCACCTACTCCAACTCGGACAGCCACCTGTGCTTCTGGCAGGTAGGGACAGAATTCCCGCAGGAACCCGGGGGATCCCCCCGGATCGTTAACCACGCATGGATCATTAAGGGTTATTAGTGGGGATGGTTGAAATTGGCGCGATCCCAAATCCGGGGAGGTGATGGTTTACACCCCGGGGAGCGCAAAGGGAGCGGGAGTCGGGATTTGGGGTACGGAAAACACCCAAGGGATTGTCCTGGGAACAGAATTCTGATTGTCCTGGGAACAGAATTCCCGGTTTGGCGTCCCAGGGGATGCACAGGGAGCTCCTGGGATCGGGGAGTGTCGGGTTCACAGCTCGGAGCCCACGGGGGAACAGCAGATCCTGCACGTGGCCAGGGCCAGGCAGCCAGGACAGGGAGATCCGAGTGGGGCTGGCTGGATCCCGGATCCCTGGGCACGGGATTTGGGGTTTGGGATTTGGGGTTTGGGACTCAGGATTTGGGATTCAGGATTCAGGATTATTCAGATCTGGGATTTGGGATGAGCTCCCAGTGTCTCTCCCCCCAGATGAACACGTCTCTGCTGGGCAGCATCGGCATGCTGAACTCGGCCCCGCAGCTGCGCTGTGTCAAGACGTTCCAGGTGCCCCCGGTGCAGCCGGCGTCGCCCGGCTCGCTCGGCGCGCTGCGCCTGGCCCGGCTCATCTGGACCTCCAACCGCAACGTCATCCTCATGGCCCACGACGGCAAGGAGCATCGCTTCATGGTCTAGGGCATGGTCTGGGGTGCAGCTCTCCCTCCTCCCCACGGCCCCTGGGGCTGGAGCCCAGAGCAGGGACCTGCCCCGGTTCCTGGGGCTGCAGCTCTCCTCCTCCTCCCCATGGCCTCTGGGGATGGAGCCCAGAGCAGGGACCTGCCCCGGCTCCTGGGGCTGCAGCTCTCCTCCTCCTCCCCACGGCCCCTGGGGATGGAGCCCAGAGCAGGGACCTGCCCCGGCTCCTGGGGCTGCAGCTCTCCTCCCCACGGCCCCTGGGGATGGAGCCCAGAGCAGGTTCCTGCCCCGGCTCCTGGGGCTGAAATTCCGGCTCCCAGGAGCTCAGGAACGCTGCCCAGGCCGGAAGGATAAACCATAATCCCCATGTAAATAAGTCATTTAAAAATCCTGTTGGATGGCAGGCTTGGAGAAAAAAGCAGTATTTATATAGAAAGGTGGTTTTTGCCACCGGTGCGGGTATTTATTTAAATAAAGGACCAAGGGGACCGTGGTGGGAAAAGTGAATTCTTCGCTGGATGTACTGAGATGTTTCCTTCAGTAGGAATATCCTGTGTGACACTCGCTGTGACCGTGTTTCCTTCTCACATATCTGAATCTGTGTTTTGTGTGAAATTTGCTGGTTCCTGCTCACGGGAAAGAGGAAAAAAAAACCTCTCAGATCCTCTCTAATTTCAGTTTCTGTGTTTGTGCAGCTTTTCCCTGGCTGCAGAGCTCAGACCTGAGGCTGGCACTAAGCTAAAAACGGTACCTGGGAGTTGAAAAATGAAGGAATTAATTTTCCCCCGTGGCTCTAAAAGAGAAAATGAATTGATTTTGTTGGGGCTGGGGTTGTCTGTGCAGTGCCAGGCGGGGTGAGCGGCCCAGGCTCGGTGTCTGTGCACGGCTCCAGGGGAAGCTCGGCCGTGTGGAGCCCAAAGCTGTTCCCGATCCGGAACAGCTCCCGGCGCGTTCCCTGGTCCCTGGGGCTGTGGGGGTGTCGTGGGGGGACCCTGCCTGGCAGGAGCCGAGGGCTGGGGTGATTCCGGTGGCTGCTCCTCCACAAATCCCCGCCCTGCTGTAAATAACGCTGGTGGAATAAAACCCGACTGAAACCTCTCGGCTCTCCTGGCTGTGGCTCATCTGATCCTCCCCCGGTCCTCGGGAATGCGTCCCTGTAACAAATCCCTCCTTTGCCTTGGAGGTCGGAAGGATGGAAAGGGTTTGTCCCTGGAGCCCCTTCGGGCCCTGCAGGGGCTCTGAGGTTTGCCTGGATCCTTCTGCAGGTGAACATTGCCAGCTCTCCGTGCCAGAGGGACATTCCCCATGGAATAAAGCAGAGGATAACGGGGTGAGCTGGGACACCCCTGCACAGGAGGAGCCATGGGGTGATCTGGGACAGGAATCACCTGCTGGGTTCCCAGATCATTCCCCATGGAATAAAGCAGAGGATAACGGGGTGAGCTGGCACACCCCTGCACAGGAGGAGCCATGGGGTGATCTGGGACAGGAATCGCCTGCTGGGTCTCCATTCCCCATGGAATAAAGCAGTGGATAACGGGGTGAGTTGGGACACCCCTGCACAGGGATGCTCCAGGCCAGGAATCGCCTGCTGGGTTCCCAAATCATTCCCCATGGAATAAAGCAGTGGATAACGGGGTGAGCTGAGACATCAGGAGGAGCCATGGGGTGATCTGGGGCAGGAATCACCTGCTGGGTCTCCATTCCCCATGGAATAAAGCAGTGGATAACGGGGTGAGCTGGGATACCCCTGCACAGGGATGCTCCAGGCCAGGAATCACCTGCTGGATCCCCATTCCCCATGGAATAAAGCAGTGGATAACGGGGTGAGCTGGGATACCCCTGCACAGGGATGCTCCGGATCAGGAATCGCCTGCTGGGTTCCCAGATCATTCCCCATGGAATAAAGCAGTGGATAACGGGCTGAGCTGGGACACCCCTGCACAGGGATGCTCCAGGCCAGGAATCGCCTGCTGGGTTCCCAAATCATTCCCCATGAAATAAAGCAGTGGATAACGGGGTGAGCTGGGACACCCCTGCACAGGAGGAGCTGTGGGGTGATCTGGGACAGGAATCACCTGCTGGGTCTCCATTCCCCATGGAATAAAGCAGAGGATAACGGGGTGAGCTGGCACACCCCTGCACAGGGATGCTCCGGATCAGGAATCGCCTGCTGGGTCCCCAGATCCCGCAGGAACTGAGCTTTCCCCTGCCGGGTGAGGCTGTGCTCGCAGGGAGGGCAGCGGGCTCAGCTCGGAGCCCTGGGGCCGGGCACAGGAGCCTCCATCCCCCTGGATTTACCCTGGAGCAATCCCTGCCTTCCCTCGGGACAGCCGAGGGAGCCGCCCGTGGCTGGAGGCACCAAAAGAGGCTTTGATTCTGTTCCCGGCTTTTGGAAAACTCCCCCAGCTTTAATTCTTGTGGCCGAACAGAAAGAAAAGAGCAGAAATGGGGAAGAATCCGGGAAGAATTTATGGGTGTGATAAATCGCCACCGGAGGCAGCGGCTGCCCGGAGCGCGCTTTGAAGCGGGAGAGGCTCCTGGGGAACTTCCCCCCCTCCCTCTGATGTCTGAGAATTAAAAATTAATCCGCTATGAAAAATTAAAAGGTGAAAGTTTCTGCTCTTTCAGCAGCAGAGCTTTTGGAATGCTGATGTGGGGCTTGGAATGGAGGCTGAGTGACATCTCCGGGAACATCACCGGGGGCTGGTGCATTCCAACAGCAGATTTTAATGGCTTTGGGGGATTGGAAAGCTGTTTGCAAACGACCCGAGACGCTTAAAGAGGGGTAAATATTTATTTATTGATGTAAATAACCTTAAACAGGCATTTACTCACTCCTGCAGAGCTACTCACGGTTTCCAGCCTGGGAGTGATCCTGGAATCCGCACAGGTTTCGTTCGGCTTCTTTATAAAACAATCATTTTATATAAAACAAATTGGATTCGGGCAGAAAATGGGTTAAAATGCCCGTGGAAAAGTTGCTGGGAACTTTGTTCCAGGAGCAAAGAGCGAGGGTGCTGCTGGTGGGAGGGGGCAGAGGCAGGAGGATGGGGATGGGGTGCCGGAGCATTCCTGGCGTTTGTCCAGCACCGTCTGTGGGGGACGGAGGGAATTTGGGGAGTGGGAACCAGCCCTGAAATGAGATGGGGAATTTGGGGAGTGGGAACCAGCCCAGCCCTGAAATGAGGGAATTTGGGGAGTGGGAACCAGCCCTGAAATGGGAGAATTTGGGGAGTGGGCAGCAGCCCAGCCCCTCCTGAGATGGGGAATTTGGGGGGTGGGCAGCAGCCCAGCCCCTCCTGAGATGGGGAATTTGGGGAGTGGGAACCAACCCAGCCCTGAAATGGGGAATTTGGGGAGTGGGCAGCAGCCCAACCCTGAGATGGGGAATTTGGGGAGTGGGCAGCAGCCCCTCCTGAGATGGGGAATTTGGGGAGTGGGCAGCAGCCCAGCCCTGAAATGGGGAATTTGGGGAGTGGGAACCAGCCCAGCCCTGAGATGGGGAATTTGGGGAGTGGGAACCAGCCCTGAAATGAGATGGGGAATTTGGGGAGTGGGCAGCAGCCCCTCCTGAGATGGGGAATTTGGGGAGTGGGCAGCAGCCCAGCCCAGCCCAGCCCCGTTTTCCTGAGGGA